GGAATCTGCACTGGCCAGTAAGGATTTATACAGATGACATTTCATTCAAATGCTGAGACACAGCATCTGAGGACACTATTACCATCACTGACAGGCAGAGTAGGAAAAGATCTGCTCATTTCCTCAAAATGCTTGACTGTTGCAATACATGCGCACACAAAAAACATGAAAAAATATTCAAAACTGTTAGAGCTCCATGAAGGGAACAGAAGGAGAGCCTAAAACATAAAAAAATTAAAAATTCAAAAATCATGGGAGCTAAATGTTCTGTAATTTGGCAAACATTATTATATTGAATTACGTAGATGCAAACAGTGAAAAATACAAAATGTTCTGCTGCTTTCTAAGATTTCCTGCAAAGTCCTCACAGCATGTCCCTGTTAAGGCCCATCTGGGCACAAAATGAGCAGCACCAATACACAGCACAGCAATTCAAGCTAACCAGGGCAAACTAACCATGTAGTCACACAGACAGATACAAGCAAGTTACTCCAAGAATGAATCTCCCCTGGTATGACCGCCTGTAAGAAGCAGGAAAAATTGCTCAAAAAAGATATCTGTTAATTACTTGTAATTACAAATACATTTTGGAACAGTACATGTGCTTCAGTACTTCTTAAGGCAGCCATACCAGTTCTCAGCTTATAGATCCATGCTGTTCAGATGAGCTATAACAGAGTCCTGGCTCACATTGACAGCTACAAAACTGCTCTCCATTACTGCATTCCATCAGCAACACCTGCACTTTCATAATATCACCACTCTGAGAAATGTAATGCAATCAGTTTATAATTTAATTTCTCTGTTTCAACCCTGAGGAATGTAGTCTCTGCTTGGGAAGTTGTAATGACCATCCGTGATTTGTATGAGCAGACTCACAAAGTTTCTTTGGTGGTACATATTCTTCAATAAACTGGAAAGCAAATACATTCCTCTATGGTAGTGACATAAAAAAATACCTTGTTTATTTTCCTTGTCACATTTATTACGAATACAGAATGGACTATGTCCCTGGATTAAAAAAACTCTTTCATTCTTCCAGCAAGTTCATAAGAGTTTGGTGGAAGAATATGCAAAAAACACACTTAATTGTTTGTAGTTATACGACCCAGTCTCTGACTCCAGAGTTACACCTAATCATGGGGTGTTGAAAATCTTACTGCAAGTATGAAAGTGGTCACAATCTTCTGAACAATACAGAGCTCCTCTGCAGTGAAGGTGTGGTCCTTCAAACTCAGAAACAAAATACTACCAACATGGTTGATCAGAGTAAGTTGTGGTACTTAAGAGTACCCATGTTGTATTATTGACTTCTGGGTTTAGAAAAACAAGCTTTTCTGTGCTTCTGTGCTTTCTCACAAATAGCAGCTGTAAATGAGCAGTTTTCCAGTTTACTAAGTTCGAACATGTGCGTTTAATATTCTTCCACAGTTCAATCAACAGATGACTTGTAACAGGTTATAAAACATGCATTTAATTCCCAAAATATTTTGTTAGGTCTAAAGAACAGAAAATTTTCTTTGGAGGCAAAAGTTCTCACACTAAAGTGACAAACTAGAGAAAGTATTAGGAACAGGCCTAAGCCTATGACTTGGGTTATCTCTACCTCTGCAGAAAATTTGGCTTGCTTAGGTGTTAAAGAATACTAGCAGGATAGGACCTTTGCAAAAGACACATCACTACTTCTTCCTTAATTGGAAGCAGTGGGTATAAAGTAATAGCTAATAGGGCCAAGCACGGGACTTAAAAGGCTTCACTCACACTAGAACTATTATCTGGTTCATAAAGTGAGAGGAGCTGCAGCAACATGACTCATTGTCCCCAGTGAAGGGCAGTAATAATGCTACAAAAAAGCAATGGAAGGGTGTTTCTGGCAGGCTGCTTAGAGGACCTGCATCTTGAAAGTGAAACTGAGGCCTTTAAAATCAGATCTCTTAGGCTGCCCTTCGCTATGCTCCAGTAAGGGTATGCAAAGTATACCTACATGCTGCACAAGTGGAAATGTTACTTCACCTAAGCCATTATTTCTGCACAAAATCTGGGCAGAACATTAGAGTAAATCTGGCAGCTAGTGAAATATGGAGGAATTTCTAGTACAGTTTTGTAAATACAAGGTTGTAAATAGTAGTAAAGACAAAGAGCAAAGCTATCTGCATATGCATCTGAAAACTTGATTTTCCTTTAGTTTCCTTTTTATTGTGAATAATTAGTACACCTTTTTAAAAAAAATACACTTACTGTCCACACAGTAGTTTTTACACCTGTTCGACGGATTTGTATTTCAAAAGACATTGCCAGCTCAGCATCATGTGCTGCCTTGCCAACATCCCATTCCACCAGCAACTGCTGAAGAGCCAAATCCTTGGAAACATTAAGGTACGTCACTGGAAACACAATGGATTCTAGGACCACAAAAACGGCACACAAATAATAATGTTTATGTATGCTTTAGTTCTTCAAATATGGCCAAGTTTCAAAGCAAGTTTCAAACAGTAATAGTTAAGAGCTTTCATACCAGACAGTTCTGAAGGAAAAAAAAAGTGATCAAGGCTCATGTTGTTGACATCAAATGCAAAGATAATCTTTAATCTTAAGGCATCAGCAGGCAAGAATGAAGTTCCTCAATCTACTTGATAGCCCTTAACTATGACATTGGGTATGCTATTTAATTACTTTATGATCTCAATTTACTAGCTACTTTATGAGAATATTGATCCATCCATTTTTAATTTTATGAAGAGGAAAAACAGAATGTATTAATTAATGACAATCAATTATTTGAACAGGATAGGGCAATATTTTCCCTCTGCTAGCTAGCTCAATGATAGTCTAATATTAGGCACATTCCTAGTTGCTCTACACAGAGCTTAAGTACATTAGTTAGGATTGTAGGTTCTTCTACTAGAATTAAACACCTAGTTATAACAGTTGAAGCTAATTCCCAGAATAAACTAAAGTTTAATAGTCAGACTGAAGCCCCCTTTGTTGTTATGAAAGGAAAGGCCCCTTAAGAAGACAAGCCTGCTGAAACCTACAGATCAACCTATGAGTGGCCCTTCTTTATAAATGTCTGCTCTCTCACTCCTCTCAAAAAAAACCCTAACTCTTGGAAGAGACTGAAGATACTGCTCTGAAGATATTGATCTGTATCTTCTCTCCTTCCTGAAAAAAAACCAACAAAAAAAAACCCAAAACAAATCAAGAAATAAAAACAAAAAACAAAACAGAAGACAACAAACCAAAAACAAAAAAACAATCCACCCCAAAAAAACCACCAAAACCCACCCAGACCTAAAGCTGATCTGGTTGTTGATGAAGGCAAAGAACTGAAGTGGAGAAGTAGCTAGGCTTTTTTTTTTTTTTTTTTTGTCAGTGCTGCTTTCCAAGATCCCTCTTCTTGTTAAAAATGACAGGGTCAGAATGCTGATTCAGACCAGGACACAGAAAAGAAATCATACTTCACCTCCTCACATTCTACAAACTTTCACCATCAAAACAAGATGAAGGCTGTTAAAATTATTTATGCTGAGGAATTGACTGTAATTTTGTTCCTCTCCAGTATGTAATATTAGCTGAGGGGCTGTTATTTAACGTATGCAAATAGGTCTAGAGCTCTGGACCCTTGCCATTCTTGTGTGTTCTTTCTGCAGTGCTGAAGCAACTGGGCAAGACAAATGGGCCCAGCACAAATAAGCAAACCTGAAGGAAGGGACCTGGCTGGGTCCATGAGCTAGGCTCTCAATGGAATTTACAGGCACAAAGATTCCCAGGGAAAGGAAACAAATAAGCCTGAAAGATAACCCAGCTAGTTGGCAGGAACCCCTTCATTTTCAGGGTGCAACATTACAAGAAACCCCTGTGTGTCTTCTGAACTTCCCTATCCTCTTTTCTGCTCCTTCTGTAGCCAATTCTAATTGCCAGTATCACTACTATGCTTATTGCACTGATGAGGAGCTTGCTTCCTTTCTCTACATCTATGTCTTTTTATTCAAGCTAAAATCTCTTTTCTCACCGTGGAGAATATTTTTTACCTGCCAAGGTTAATTAACTTAACAAAAAAAACCCACAAAGGTCTCTTTAGTTTCTTTTCTTTTTTTTTTTTTTGTCTCCATCTGTACAAGTGTCTCTCCACCATGTCCTTTTTGTGAGATGACACTTCAGATCTCTCAAAGTTTTGTTCTCCTCAGAGCCTGGCATAAGAGAGGCTAGCTCACCAATCAGGGCTTATACATTGCACAAACAGAAGAAACAATATAGCTAAGGCTGTATCTAAGATCTTGAAGACCACTGAGTTACAGTGTGTGGCTTGAAAATTTTTGTAGTAAAATTTACACATGAAGAAATACTTGTAGCTTTCACAGCTATAATCTTCCTCTCCTAGCAATGTTAAATAACCAAGGCATTTTAAGACTTGTTTTAACTTGAAAACTATCTCAAGACTGTATGACTAGCTTTACAACTAACAACAGAGATTAATTTTATTCCTGAACAACTGCATGTTAAAACAAGTGACCAAGTTACTGTTACGCAGTATCTGCTTGGTCTTGCCTACATTACAAAGTTTTATCACTCTAGGGGTATTGGTAATAGCATAAAACTGAGAAACTGGCATATAGAGTGTGAACACATAAATTTTGAGGTTGGAGAGAGGCAAAAAAGTCAGAAATAAACATATTATCACCTTGAGTACGATAACAAGTACATTTATACAAAAAACCCACCTGTCTCCCTCCCTCTCAAACTTATTTGAGGCAATACAGCTTCTATAATACATACTACAGTCTGGTAAATTCTGGTAATGGTGGACACAGAAAATTCAATTTAAAATATTAATTCTTTTTGTATTTATTTAATGGAGTAATGGCCAATGCTAATGCCAGCAGCAAGTGTGCAAACAGTATTTTACCTTTAAAGACTGCTGGAAAGTGATCCTTATATTTAACTTTTTTTCCCTCCAAATATACATATTTGCTTTTTTCTTTGTAGTGGATATGTATGTCAAGTGCAAGAAATAAAAACCTGGTCCTGGAATCTTGTGGCAGTAACAGAAAAGAGTCAACAGAAGTGCTGAAGTTTTCATAGATGAAACAAGCAAGAAAGAGAAAGTAAAGGGAAAAAGCAGAAAAGCACAAAAGTCATCAAAAGAAGAAATAAATTATTTGAAGACAACAGAGCACAGATCAAAAACATTTGAGACAGAGGGAAAGCAAATAAATAAATACACTCTGGGCTCACATAATTTCAAGCTATTGATTTAACATGCAATTCTGCATTGACGGAGTTACAAAAGGTAATTATACAAGCTGCTTCATCACCTTACCAAAGAGAATAATTTTATTAATTTTTTAACCTGTTGCTTAATCACATGAGACTTACAAAGGAGCGAGTCGAAAGCTTCAGTTGTTGTAGATTTTTTCCAAACAATAAAGCAAATGTTCAGACATTTACCTTGCTGTGAGTATGTAGTGGAACAAGTCCTCAGGGTGAGCAGTACCACCAGAACCGTGAAGTGATTCATCATTCACCTGCCTTTTCCTGCATGAGACTTATCAGGAAAGAAGTCAGGAGAAATGAATGCCAGATATTAGTCCAGATAGTATTACCATATTCGAGAATGAATAACCAAAAACTCAGGCACATATTCCAGGCAGTTTAAGAGAAATTCAGGAAGAATGGACAAAGAAATGTAAGGAATGGAAAAAGATGTCTTTTTAGAACCTGGCTACAGCATAGGGAAAAATACATGACAGTCAAAAAATTTTAATCTAAACCAACAAAATACACAATATCTTTAAAGTTTTCCCTCCAGGTATTTCTAAGGAATATTAAAACACATATTTGTCCTGATAGAATCTTGGCTTTCCTCTTGCACAAATAAAAAGATATCCATCCTAACAAGTGAAAAAAAAACAGGAAAAAAAAATAAAAAAACAGAAAAAAAAAAATGAACAAACAAAACAAAACAACACACAAAAAACCCCACAACAAACGAACAAAAAAAAAAACCCACAAAAAAAACCCTACAAAAAAAACACCATCAAAAGTGCAAAAGAGCTTCTGGTTTCCACTCCACCTAGAGCCTGATCTATTACTTTGGCAAGTATGGTCTTGCCCTTTGCCAGCACCCAGGACACTCTACGGAGGGTTTTATTAGACTAGAGTTGAAATAAATGTATCAATGTCTTAGCAAGTTCCATTCCTGAAGGCCTGACATCTCAAGCAACACATAGCTCTATCTAGCATTCCTTCTACAGCTTTCACACTGATTGTGAAGGGATAAAATGCTGACTTGCACAGCCCAGTCCTGAGGGACCAATCATGAGTCAGATCTCACAAGTCATGAATCACCTGCAAACTCCCTCGTGTAGAAGGGAATGGTAACATTCAGCAGCAGTATAGTTAATTGCACTCCAACACACAGGGCACAAAAGTCCAAACAACAGGAACAAGACTACTGATACAGCTATCTTTAACTTTTTATTTCCATATTTTACGTTTCAGAAGCTGTGCAGAATACTGATAAAGACAATCTTCTACCACTGCTTCCATAACAGAAGTTCAGACAGATAACCAGAATGATCTTTTGTCCCCACTAAAGCCAAGAACAGAACATTTCAGGAGGACCAGGAATCCACTCTAGAATTTCTTCCTACCAGAAAACTCCCAGTTTAACACCTCAGAGATACAGACACTTCAGTTTAATGACCCTGCCTTAGATTAAATGGTTTTTATCTTAATTTCTCTGAAGGATCAAAATAAAAAGTTTCAAACTTTTTTTTTCTTTTCACCTTTCTAAAGGTAACATGGAAATTGCAGACGAGGGCTGCACACAGCACTGCAATAGAGGGTGCAGGGCTCATGAGCAGCACTCCTGCTGCTCTGTGCCCCAGCTTCTTCCTTGTGGGCACAAATGCTTCACATGGAGGCCCTCATATTTAAAAGGTGAGCATTGCCTTGCCTACTTTTTGATCTTCTGCACTGCTTCTTGCCTTTATAACAATATCCTCACAAGTATGTGGACAACACTAAAATCAACATGAATCAAGAATCCAAATGTTTTTAGGAAACTAGGCCTAATTCACACCCAACATGAACTGACTTAAAGGAAATCTGCCTTATATCTTTTCTAATTTTAGTCTTTTTGTGTCACTTGATCAAATTTAGTATCTAAAAGGGAAAATATTTTTTATGTTTTGCATAAACATGACAGAATGGCTCTTTGTTATAGAGCAGTGAGTGGCAAGTAATTGACACAAAAGTAAGTCTTTCCAAAGCAGATTATGTTAAGACTTCTGGCAACTCTTTGGTGGATTGTTATTCTTTTGAATTATATTAAATTAGTATTGAGACACAAAATATTCCGTGCCTTTTTTTCAGAAATAAGTGAAAATAAAACTGCTTTTAAAGTCAAGGGAGTTCAGTCTCTGCTCTAAGATCAGTTAGCCTCAGCAGCCTAACTCCTGACTTAACTATATCAGCATGATGAAAACCTGGCCCCACAAAATTTCTGATATTGTAGGCACCTTTGGGGTTGGACACAAAGCTATTTGTCCTATTTCTCATGTATCACTCAACTTCAACATTGAATCCAGTAAGAAAGTTTTGTGGAACTCATGATATATTAAACTGTTGAAATTACTTCCTGTTTAGAAAACAAATCCAAACTCTTTTCTGCTCTTAAGAGGCATTCTCATTGCCCAGTTTATCCATCTCTCTCCAGTTATTTACACTGCCAGTTCACTATTAACACAGCCTAGATCACTCTTATCCATTTATTTTTAGCCATATGATACTAAAAGGCAGCCTAATACAATAAAAGACCATCAGAATTTAAACATATTTTGAACAGCTACAATGCTTTTCACTATTCAGTATGTTAACAAACTAGTTTAGTACTGTATAACAAATTGTAATAATAGGTGCACTTATTTGCATCAAACCAGTTTTTATGGGAAAAGCTCTGGACTGCTCTAACAGAAGAGAATACAAAATAAATTTAAAGAAACGAAATACTGTTCAAGAATAAAGAATTACAGTCCTTAATGTAGAGGAATATTTTTACTTAAATGACTAACAAATTAATCCCATACAGTAATTAATACCAACTAATGCCAAGCACTTTTTCTATATTATTAATAATTAAGTACTTGTATAAAATCAGCAGTTAAAAAGCTGTGCTACAAAGCTTTGGCTACAAAGATTAAAAGAGAATCAAAACAGTTGTATAAACACATTATCAATTTCACTTAAAAATACTCCATGAAGATAATTTGAGGAGGGGAGGACACTGAGGAAAGGAGGGTTATCAGGAGTAGCCCATATGGATACACCAAGGAGAAGTCATGCTTGACTAGCATGATAGATGGACAGATGAGGGGAGGGCAGCTGATGTGGTCTACCTTGACCTCAGCAAAACTGTTGATACTGTCTCCCATGGCATCCTTACAACCAACCTTGAGAAGTGTGGATTGGATGATTGGGTAGTGAGATGGATGGGAACTGGCTGAAGGACAGTGCCCAAAGGGTTGTGGTCAGTGGGGTTGAGTCCACCTGGAGGCACTCAACTAGTGGTGTCCCCCAGGGGTCAGTACTGGGTCCAGCCCTGTTCAGTACATTAATCGTTGACCCTGACAAAGGAATAGAGTGTCTCATTAGCGAGTTTGCTGATGATACAAAACTGGAAGGGGTGGCTGAAGTCTGGGCTGCCATCCAGCCTGACATGGACAGACTGAGGAGGTGGGCAGGGAGTAACCAATGAAGTTCAGTAAGGGTGAGCGTAGAGCACTGCATCTGGGGAAGAACAACCCCATACACCAGTACAGGTTAGGGGCTGACCTGCTGGAAAGTAGCTCTGGGGAAAAAGACCTGGGAGTCATGGTGGGCAACAAGCTGACCATGAATCAACAATGTGCCCTCGCAGACAAGAGGGCCAATGCCATCCTTGGGTGCATAAGAAGAGTGCGGCCAGCAGGTCAAGGGAGGTTCTCCTCCCCCTCTCCTCTGCCCTGGTGAGGCCTCACCTGGAGTATTGGAGTTCTGGGCTTCCCAGTTCAAGAAGGACAAGGAACTACTGGGAAGAGTCCAGCACAGGGCCTCTAGGATGGTTAAGGGATTTGAGCATCTAACATATGAGGAAAGGCTGAGAGAGCTGGTCTGTTTAGCTTAGAGAAATGGAAGCTGAGGGGGGAATCTTATCAATATTTATAATTATCTAAAGGGAAGTATCAGGAGGATGGGGCTAGACTCTCTCAGTAATGCCCAAGTGACTGAACAAGGGTCAGTGGTCACAAACTGATACACAGGAGATTTAAGCTGAATTTGAGAAAAGACTTCTTTACTCTGAGGGTAACAGAGCACTGGAACAGGCTGCCCAGGGAGGCTGCTGAGTCTCCATCCCTGGAGACATTGAAAACCCACCTGGATATGTTCCTGTGTGATCGGTTCTAGGGAATCCTGCCCTGGTGGGACTGTTGAATCAAATGATTTCCAGAGGTTCCTACCTACCCCTACCACAACCCCTGTGATTCTGTGATAATAGATCAACTACATCCTTGCCAAAAGTAAGATAATTGCACACCACAGGGAATGAAGACAGGAAGTCCAGGAAGATTTCACCACCCTGAAAGAGGCAAAGTACTACCTCTGATTAATAGTGTGAAACTACCAAATGCCACGAGAAAACTGACAATCACAACCATTGTTCTGGATAACAGTTGGGTTCAGATTTGGCAGTCTGAAAAGATATGGATGGTGCAATAGTACACCACAGTTCCTCACTGGGGGATGAATCACTGCTGCTCGTTTTTTTTAAGCTTAAGAGAAAGTCATGTTTTGTCACCATGGTCTGACGTGGAATCCCTTAGTTTCCATGAATTGCAGGTCAATAACAAGAAGTTCTTATGCCAGCTATTTTTAATATAGACTACAGAGGTGTGATTTGAATACTTTTTCCTTTCTAGTTACTTTTTTCATTGAGATTTTGCAATGGCATTTCTCTAGCTTATCACAGAATCACAGAGCAGTTTGTCCAACTGAGTTTCAAAGAACTCCAAGGATAGAGATTCCACAACTTCTCTAGGCAACCTATTCTAGAGCTTAACCACCCTCACTGTGAAGGTTTTTCCTCCTTATATTCTCCTTCTATGAATATATTCATTTTCCTCCTTATCTTTTTCTCCTCTTATTTTTCTTGCTACAATTTGTGCCCGTTTTCTCTTGCTCTTTTGCTGTATACCTCTGCAAAGACCTTAGCTCTGTCTCCCCTCAGTAACTTCCCCTAAGTTAGGTCAGGACTGAAGTAAGAGCTGCCCTTACCTTTCTCTTCTCAGGGCTAAGCAAACTCAGATCCTTCAGTGACCTCTATGTGTGCTTCAGCCTCCAAAGCCTCCTGGTGCTTCTTTGCTGAACTCAGTCCAGTCTGTCAATCTTCTTTGTACTGTGAGCTCAAAAGTGGACATAGTAATTTAGATATGGCCTCAAAAACACCAAACAGAAGAAAACAATCCCACCCCTGAGCTCTAA